TTCAAAATACTAGCATATATATTTTTTATAAGCAATATTTATAGTTTCTAAATACAATATCATTATTATTGTCATATGTATGTAAATCGAAATGGTCCTGATCCAATTTTTTGTGTTGGTAATATGTTGGATTCATATATTGCAATTACATGCATATATATCTCTATAGATTTTTTTTTCTCATTTCTTTTATCTTCATTTTATTTTAATTTATCTTACATTTCATATATATACATTTTATATGTTCTATTAGAGCCTTCTCTATATGTGCATCTAACATATAGTAGCATTGGGACATATTGGTTTCTTTTTTTATAAGTCTCAATGTTGTCCTTGTTGCTTAGAATAATAAAGTTTTTTGCATGCGTTCCATGGTGGAACGCACATGCGCGCCGGACGCCGGCGGATGGTATGTCATCACGTCGGCGCCCGGTTGCGCATGCGCAATTGCACAGAAAGGACGCCACCCGGCATATTTAAATGCCGAATAGAGAAGACTCCGGATCGCTCCTGATGAAGTCTGAATAAGAACAGACGAAACGCGTTGAGCAGACCCGGGGAATTGAATCAGCTGATGGTGAACTGTTTTATCTGTCCTTGCTACAGCTTCCATACAGACGTCCACAGACTGCCAAGACCGGGAGATTTAGCCTATTTTATGCATCAGCACTTTAGCACATATTGATTCAGTCAATTGTGCCACACTGTTTGTGAGTGTTTTTATCTATGTGTCTTTTTATCACTTTGGAATTAAAAGTTTGCACTATGATGTTTTCTCTTTTTATATTTTCTATGTGAATATCCTCATTTGTCCGCTGGAGGGTAATTATATCCAGTATTTATATTTGGTGAAAAGTGGCGCCCTATTTCTGTATAGTATATACAGTTTTGTTTTTTGCACGTAATGAAAGTATAGATAGAGGGAGTGGAGGGTGGGGACATGTGAGTCGCTAAAAAACGTACGGGAAGGTGAGTTGGGGGGGTTAAATAGGTACCATGCCCCTCCCACAACTGCAGGCCATGCCTTAACATTTGTGTGAGGGGCAAATAAGGCCGTAAGGGAAATAAGTCGGTTGAGGTGTGCCGGAACCGACATTGTGGTAGGCCTGTAATAAAAGAGGGCAAAAAATTGGGTACCTGTCAGAAACGAAAAACAATCAACAAAAACCTAATTGCCTAGACGTATGGTAAATGCAGAGTGAGGAAATAGTTGCCCAGCACTTTATCCGGCACTCTTAATTGTGCAAGGGGAAGTAAGGTATATTAAACGTGTTGGCCCCCTAGGGTAGACTAAATGTGTGGTAGAGAGGGTAATCAGGCTGCATGAATAGGTGAGACTTCCTAAGATAATGTTGCAAGAAGGAAAGTATGTGAGACACAAGAAACTGTGGAAGCAAGAATAGTGGCTCAACAACTAGATTACAAAGTTAAAGTGACAAGTGCCCATCAAGTACAGCCTTCCTCACATTTGTGTTTAAACGGTTGATCCAAAAGAAGGCGAAAAACCCAGTTTGAAGCGCTGCCAATTTGCAACAAGCTGGGAAAAAAATCCTTCTTGACCCCATAATGGCAGTCAGATTTTCCTTGGATCAAGCAGTTATTGCCCTACATTGAAGGTTGATGCCCGGTTCGTAGTGACAGGCATTTAATAAGTCTGATAGTGAATGAGATACTTGGATTTTGATGTGAAATCTGTAAATTTGAAATTCCCTGGAACCTGAAACGCCTTGAGTATGCTAATAGTCTGGAATGAGGACATGAAACTGCGTATGAATGGTAAACCTGTACAACATGTGGAGTTGTGAACCGGATAGGTAGAGAGTGTATCCAAAACCCTGCTCCCACCTGTTCCGCCATATGTAGCTCAGTTGTAAAGCTGCTGAGCGCACTGTGAGTGAAAGCCTTATAACAGAAATTAAGTTTAGTAAACAGGTCACTGAGGTCAGTAGTGAATCCTTCTATATTCCCAACAAGGAAAGAGTTAGGAATCAGTCTGCTACATGATAAAAATGAGAGTATAGTAAATTTTGCCCAATTTGCGATATTGCTCAGGTTTACTCCCAGGCTCCTTAAAACTACTACTGCCTCCTACCATTTACCGCATAGGCCCCTCTCTGTGGCTCAGTTGTAATACAGAAGCTGTATAATCATACCTGACTCTTGTGCACGCTGTAAGGAAATCCCAGCAAAAGAAATGGGCTCCCTGATCGAGTGAGGCATTCGTGCAGCAAAACAGGAGATATGGCGGAAGCGGTCGGGTAAAAACATGCGAAACGCCCGAGAGCCACAAACCCCCCCAGAACCATGCGAACCGAGCGAACAATAGGAACAAGGGGAAAGGAAAACTCCCGAACGGAGGTAAGTAAACTCACGGCAACAGCAGAGATGAAAGGACGGACAGCCGACCGGAGCAGAGCCCCAGCAACGACTGCGGAGGAGACGAAAACGTCGGGGGAAACGGCAGGTCAGGCAAGGAGAACCGCAAGGGAAGCAAAAGGTGGCCGGAAACATGTGAGTTGCTAAAAAACGTACGGGAAGGTGAGTAGGGGGGGTTAAATAGGTACCATGCCCCTCCCACAACTGCAGGTCAAGCCTTAACATTTTACTGAAGTATCAAGCCTGAATAACATAATGTAAAAATGTACAATTCCAACACACACCATACTATTATCTCTGTTGTTATGCTTCCAGGTGCTGTTGTGGCACCGTTTGCAAGTCTGTCAATCTTTTGTTCAGCAAAAATAAAGAATAAAAAAAAGGTACATATATTACCAATTCTCCAATGGTATACAAAGTTTTGAGCATAACTGTACGTATAAAAAGAATTGCTACAATCACGCATATACACGGTTATTACGAAAATATACCTATTTATTATTATTATTATTACTGGCATTTATAAAGCGCCAACAAATTCCAAAGCGCTTTGAGGAGTGTTGATAAATTAAATTCTACCAGCTAATTCTATGTGGGGACAAGTGCTGCTGTGGCTGTTCCTGTTCCCATTACAATGGTGGCAAACAGAGGACTTCCCCGTGCCTTAGGATATCAAAATACCGCTAGGAAAGCAAGCCCAATACTGAGAGAGAATTACAATAGGTGGAGCATCCGTAATAAATATCTGCCAAGAAAAAAAGTACAGCGATAGTGCAATATAGAAATAGTAAAAGTGCATATATGTATATAGTGTAATATAGACTGTAGAAATAGTAAAAAGTAGTATAGGTAATATTACTCACAAGCATGGAGCCAAATCCATGCATATGGCTCACATGAGAAGTGCAGTGGGACTATTACCAGGATGTCCCCATCCTCTCTTCATCCGCTCTGTATAAAATTATTACAATGCTGTTAATCGCAAGTAATGAAGAGGCTCCTTTTCAAAGAAAATAATTCCTTTATTGTGCTTAAAATAGAGACAAGGTGTAGGATACAGTAAAATGGATGATATAAAGTTAAACAGAAAAGTCTATGACCAATGTCTTTTAAAAGTCTATGATGATCCAAAACGAGTTTTGCCCTGTAACTAGGGCTTCCTCAGTTGGCATGGTTCTTCAGAGCTCCTGGTCAAGCTCACCATCTCATATGTCAAACAATGTTTTCAGGAAATTCAAGAATAAAAGATCAGAAAAGCTGAGTCCCCAACAGAGCCCCCACAGATATGCTTTAGAAGAGCTGGGTGTGAGGAATCCTCTACTTGTGCCTCCCTGACCTTGTGGACCGCCATGTCTTCTAACTCTAACTGATCCTCCAGCCTCCCTGACACCAGTCACTGTGTACAAGGACCTTTTTATGACGCAGTGCACACGTGCCGGAGTCATGACGTCAGTGAAACACATTACCTTAATTATCAACGCTTTCTTATGTTTTGGTTGCATAATTACTACGTCAACGTCCTCAAACCTATAAAAGCATAGTTTGCCATTATCACAGTGGCCTGTTGTGGTTCCTGAGTGTCCCAAGAGTGTGTTTATATTTCTGTGTATTGTCTTTTTGGTATTTGACGCGGCCAGGTAATTTCTGTCTCCCCCTAAGCTTGGCTAGTTCTGACGTTACAATCTATCATTTATTTATATACATTCAGCTCGCCACTCTAAGGACCGTTTAGATTTTGCTTGTTGGGTAATATAACCGTGACATTACAACAGGGCCTTGGACCTTGCAGGTGTAAATCCCAAGTTAATCACTCATGATGCATGATGCCTGTCTGAATGATCTTGATCACAGAATGGATCAGTTTGTCTAAGCCTGAAAACACAAATTACACATCAGCTAATATGCAACCTGAGGGACATACCCAATCTCTGAGACCTATAGCTGCACGAGCAAAAACATCCACCTAGGGTACTTCTACTAACCTTACCACTGCTTTACACTATGGAGGTGATTCTTCTGCTTGTCTGGGATTTCTTAGTAAAGTAGGTATTCATTTTGAGTTATCACCTTGGTCATATTCTACTGATAGAGCTAAAGTATGTTTTATGATAAACTTACTAACTGATAAAGCAATTGGCTGGGCCAATCCACTATGGCAAAATGATAGTCCTTTAGTTTACAACTATATGGAATTTAGAACTATTCTGTTTTTCTGGCTTCATTGATCTTTGGCTTTAATTATTGATATTTCTGGCTTCCCTTGACTTTGGCTCTCTCTGAAGTTCCTATATAAATTTTATGTATATGTGTTCAGCCCAGCCACTCTAAGGTATAGGTAATGCAATGCCTGGTATACGTATTTTGGTGAGTTTGCTGTTGGGTCATATAACCGTGACACTGGGTCCCTTGTATAGCTGTATGTGATGTACATCAGATGCCCCCCAGGAGCATGGTGAAACGTAAGGAGATGGTGCAGTTGCCACCGCTATTCAGCAACAGAGTATGGCTCTAGCAATATGTGGAAATCTAATTGGCTCTTTTAATGCAGGGGAAAGGGGAAATCCAAAAAGCAACAATAAAGGCCAGGGGTTACATACATTTAATCAGAAAGACAAAATAGAAAATGCCCACAAAGTCAGGCAGTATGCTGCCTCCTCACCCGTCTACAAATGAATAAATATTAAGGAAACCAAAACTGACCTTTAAAGATCATCTAATCTAAAACAAACCCATTAGCTTCTTACATGATAGGGAATGAAAACAATGATAACATTTGGTTAGACAACCACAATTATAACTGATTCTATACATGCTCTCATTGCAAAACCTGTGAGAATACAGAAATAATACCAAGATATTTGTCTTTTATCAAAAAAGAGTTTTTTTTTTTTCCAATTAAAAACCACAATATCAGGTACATCACATTTGTTTTTTACAATCCACTGCAGCTGTGGAAAACAATATAAATATGACATAAAAGAGAGAGAATTTGATTTGTACATTTGAATATGATGAGGAATGTGTTACCAAAACATAGGTCATTTTGAATTGAAGAAGATGGAACTGATTATAAAAATTTATATTTAACGTGAACAGTCTTTACTCACTGATTATGAGTAAGGCCTGGTAAGTCCAAAACGTATTAGTTTGTTTCTCATCCTGTGAGGCAGTTCCTTGTGCTTGTCTTGTGAGTGTCAATAAGTCTATGTAGTTCTGGATCCAGTCGGCTGTGGCATCTTTGTGATTTGTTCTTCACATTAGTATGGTTGCCACCTTTCTTTTATTATGCTAATTTGGATAATTTATCACTGTGGCGAAAGTGACCTCGCCACTGGTTTTTGGAGGGGCCTGTTTGCCAGCCTCCTGCCCTGCGACTATGGCCTTGGGATGTATTGCCCTTCTAGGAACTGATTTGGGCATATTGTATTTTATTATGCTGCTGCTTGCCCTTTAAGAACCACCTGGGGACATACTGTGGAGTTACTGGGTGGCCACTATTTCATGTATCAGAGGCACATGGTGAGAACAATGGATGAAGCACATGGTGAGAACAATGGATGGCGGCCATTTTAACTCACAAACACTGTTTGGACTTTTCTACACGGTGCCATCTCACCGGTATTTGGTGCACAAAGACATCGTGCAGTGGTTTTAAACTATACAACAGGGGACACATTATACAGTAATTATTTTTCATATCGCCTTTATATGTTCTGCGGAATCTGCATTAAACTGTATCTTCCAAACTACTGAACGGATCTGGGTGAATTTTGGATATGTGGTTCACCCAGATCCCCCGGTTCTGAGGATATACTTTTTATGGGGTTATTGCATGTTTTGGGGTCAGTCAGTTCTACTTCACCCTCAATCTAGAGTCCTGCCTCTTATTGGGGGAATCTGCTACAAGGGATTGCTATGCTCTGCATAGCACCTCAACCTGATACGTCGCTACGAGGACGACGCTTACATTGAGGAGGTAAAGAGGCGGTTGGTCTGGTATGGCCCAGACCCTTTGAACGAGGTAGTCTTCCAAGTAATGTGCCAGTTGAGAGCTGAGAACCATGTGGCAATGATCTTTGAGCAAAAACTGTGGGGGTTGAGGATATGGACAGCCAATCTCCAGCGGCAGTGTGTGCCCCAGGGAGCTGAAGGTGTTGTCCTTCCTCCCCAGCGGCAGTGTGAATCCCAGGGAGTCAAAGGTATCGTCCTTCCTCCCCAGCGGCAGTGTGAATCCCAGGGAGCGGAAGGTGTCGTCCTTCCTCCCCAGCGGCAGTGTGAGTCCCAGGGAGCCGAAGGTGTCGTCCTTCCTCCCCAGCGGCAGTGTGAGTTCCAGGGAGCCGAAGGTGCCGTCCTTCCTCCCCAGCGGCAGTGTGCGCCCCAGGGAGCCGAAGGTGTCGTCCTTTCTCCCCAGCGGCAGTGTGAGTCCCAGGGAGCCGAAGGTGTCGTCCTTTCTCCCCAGCGGCAGTGTGAGTCCCAGGGAGCCGAAGGTGTCGTCCTTCCTCCCCAGCGGTAGTGTGAGGTCCAGGGAGCCGAAGGTGCCGTCCTTACTCCCCAGCTGCAGTGTGAGTTCCAGGGAGAGAAGACAACCGGTCTTCCTCCCCAGTGGCAACTTACCCCACAAAGGGGAGACACTAATCTCCCAGAAGGTGCAGATGGGACCGTGGTCTCTGCACCTGACCTACAGGGATGCTGGACAGCCTGTCAAGATCCCCAACTACCCTTGCAGGGACACCAGGAGGAGGGGGTAAGTACTATTTCCCCTCCCCAGACAAGGCCTAACCCAGCTGCCCCAGCAGAAGCGCTGGCATCGGGGCAGAGTGCAGTTGGCCTCTGCCCCCCAAGCCCCCACAGCGTGTTACCCAGTGACCTCAGAAGAATACCCAAGTGCAGTAACTGTTTGTTGTGGGTGGGCTGCTCTTGTACTTTACTGTTGTGGGTGGGTTGTCAGACTAACTCAGGCACCGACCGACAGAAGGTCAGGTACCTGGTTAGCCTACCCCCCAAAGGGGAGATATGTGGTGAAAGTGACCTCGCCACTGGTTTTTGGAGGGGCCTGTTTGCCAGCCTCCTGCCCTGCGACTATGACCCTGGTATGTATTGCCCTTCTAGGAACTGATTTGGGCATATTGTATTTTATTATGCTGCTG